CTTCCTCATGGCTCATCTTTGGTGTCCTTCCAGTGACGGCACCCCCATCCGATACTTCGCTGCTATACTATCTTCAGACAGTTCAGGATGCAGCGACCAAATAGTTGGGCCCCCTTCTCCTCGCTGCACCAGAGGCCCGAATCTGAAAGAATTTAACCATGCTTGTCAAGTAAATATAACGAGGTAAAACGTACGAGGGGATGGGTACATCCGGCGCCCAATTCATCTCGCCCTCAGCGGCGATTGCTGCGAGAGGTGACGGAAGACCTTGAGCTCCAGCCCAATATAGGGTTCTTCGGAGATCCCTGAGTTGCATCTGTCGAGGTCAGCGACTGTTTTTGGACGAGTGTAGGTCAAACTTACCATTTAGGTGCAGGAGGCGCGCGACACACCTTGGACGAGAGACGAGCAATGGTCGATGTGATGAACATTGAAACCGCCGAAACATGCCAAAGAACTCGGTATAACTGCAAATGTCTGGAATTTGGAATGGGATGCGAGGACGAAGGTGGTGCTCTAAAGGTTAATGAAGCCCAGAGCCAAGAAAAGGTCCAGAAACTCGTCCAACAGTGGAAGGGAAAAGGAAGTAGGGGAAGGAAGCTCAGGAGGGAGGGGAGTCGGCCTGTGACACCGGAGGGAAAATTGAGAACGGGTCCATGAGTTTCTTGGGGTCCGATAGGGCCCTGTGAGGTGCCGATCTCGCCACCCCGCCTACCTTTGGTGTGAAGGACCCCGATTTCAGGGGTCGGCTTCACTGCGAGGTCAATGAACTCCCAGGCTTGAAGACCTTGATCTTTCGCCAACATCGCTGCCTCGTCCACACATTCCGTCGTCAAAGCATCAATCGAAACACATTAACGATAGAGGCTTCATAGCCCAGGCATCTACGTCCCAGGTTCCAAAGCCCGGGGTAGTCTGCTTCCTGAATTCAAGAAGCAGCATCTCGAACTCAACGACAAGCTCAGCGAAAAGGCCCGTACCCAAATTGATAGCTTTATCAAAGACCCTGAGGCAGAAGACCCAGATATCAGCAAGCACTATTTAGTCGGCAAGTACGGAACCAGGGTTATCAACTGGTACATTAACATGCAGCAATTGGATATGTAGTGTTTGTCTGTGTCTCTGGCGGATGTTGGTGTCGGATTCTTCGCAGCCACCGACACGACAATATCAATATAGACACAATGGCATTTAGAAATATTCACTTTATGAAATGAGGATAAAGATTGGACTCATACATCGTTATTATTCATTCATGTAGTAAAGTGTAGGCCTAAAGCTCTACGACCGTATCCTCGCAAAACCCTGAACTCCAATCAAATACATCAAATCCTTTCCGAAGACCTTGCTTGGGAGAGACATTGCCATGGCAAGTCTTTTTCTTTCCTTAAAAAACAAAAACAAAAACAAAGAACAGGGGACAAGAGGGAAAGATGAGAAGCACTGCTTGTGCTTAATTGTACCAGTCGTTCTCATCACCGGGAGCCTCGATCGTAACGGCCATCACACCGTTAGAGTCGCGAACACCACGGTGAACCATGGTGGCACTGTTGAAACTGTGCTCTACCAAGCATATCTCCTCCACTTGCGGGAGTCTTGTCGCCATCTCCATTATCGCTCTCATCAGCCCGTCATCGAGATCCGTTCGCAGTTGGTCTCCGGGGTTCAGTCGCCACATCGGGAGGATCCAGGTCATAATTCTTCGATGAAATTCGAGGGAGATTCGCCTCAGGTTGGCCATCCCCACCAGCTGGTCGGCGATGAGGGCCAGACGGAACGGAATATCCGTCGCCTGGGGAATCCCGCTGACGGGGAACGTGTCCGCCGGCGCCTTCTCCTGCACGACCAGCTGTTGGAGATGGTCCAGCTGGTTGATCTTGACCCGAGTGCCTCCTCTAAGATGTCTCAGGAAGTCGTTAATAGGGGTCTTGAAATTCACCCTCAGTTGCCGAACTTGTGGGCAACCGTCCTTGATTGAGGCAACTCCCTGACTAACGATGCGAGGCAAAACATCGATGACCTGCACATTGCGCAGGGAGTGTCTGAGAAGGGTGGACAAGGTTGGTGGGCGTAGTTCCGAGATCAGGACTGTGACAAGATCCCAACTGGGGTTCTCCTTCACCATTCGGTGAAGGGAGGACACCTCCGCCTTTGAAAGTCCATCAAGGGAAAGCGACAAGGTGGTGGTAAGGGAAAGATGTCTTTTAGCTGACGTGAGAAGGGCAGGAAGAAGGTCTTTATATTCGTCGAATTGGTCGTTATCTTGGGGTCGGACCTCGAGACGCAGGTGGCTGCAAAACAAGTCAGTAAGTTTCATACGAGATATCTTTTCTGGAATCCTTGCCGACACGCTCTTCCCATGCCCCGTGTGCGAGATTGATTTCTGTTCTTCAAGAATTGCATGAGAGCGTCTGTCATCTCCGTCCTCGTCCCAGCAAACGACATACTCCGAAAAAGGTGGTTTCGTACGCATGACTCGACGACCTTAGAGGTAAGAGACATCTTCCCAAGGTCCTGAACCTGGAGGTGGCCCCCGATCTCTCCGATGATTTCCAATGGAAGTGAAGTAAGTGACGACATGATCAATCAAGGTGAGCGTAATGAAGGTAGAAAATGTGTGTAGGAGTGCTAAACTTGGTGAGAGTATCAGCAGAAGAGGAATCTGAAGTTGATGCTG